AAGGCCCTGACCACCCTCCTCAGCAGATGCATAATCTGTGTCTCCTGCATGATGACAGGGCAGGGCCCTCAAGATTAGGCTTGGTTTAAAGAGGAATTTAAATTAAAATAGAAAATTAAGCCTCTAGCCCAGCACTAAAAAAACCAGAGCAGTAGAAACACTCTCCTTTCTCGCTGCTGTTAGCCAGCAAGGACAATGGCGGCTGGAAAGGCCTAGTTTAAACAAGGTTCCTGGTCCTACAGGGCTCTGTAATGGTCCTGGGGGCGCCCCTGGCCCCCGGGTCCCCGACCCGCAGCAGCTCTGAGGGCCCCTGTATCCTGTGGTCCTGCAGAAGAGTCTCTCCTTGTTTAGCCATTAAAAAAACAAGCAAATAAAAATAAACTACTGTACAACCACCCTGGAAAACAGCTCGGCAATTTCTTTTTAATACTAAACATGCAACTATCACGTCACCCAAAAATTGTACACTTGGGCATTTATTCCAGAGAAAGGAAAACTTATGTTCACACAAAAACCTGCCTGTGGATGTTGAGAACAGCTTTATCTGTAACAGCCAGAAACCTGAAGCAACCCAGGTGTCCTTCAGCAGGTGAACGGCTAAGCGAGGTGAGCTACACCCACAGCACGGGGCACAGCACAGACCTAGAACAAGCTGCTGAGACATGTGGCAACTTGGATGAAGGTCCAGGGAAGCAGGCTGAGTGAGAAAAACCAACTCAAAGGGTCACAGACTCTGTGAATTCCCCGTATACAACATTCCTGAAACGACACACTGCAGAAGTGGAGACAGATTTGTGGTTGAGGGGAGGGAAGTGGCAGTAAGAGGGCCACATGCAGGTCCCTGCGGCGACGGTTCCCTGTTCTGGCCGTATCGGTGTCAGGCCCCTGGCTCGGGAGTACAAGGTGTCATTACTGGGAGAATCTGGGCGAAAGGTACACAGGCTCCCTCTGTTATTTCTTACAACTGCATGTGAATCTACAATTATCTTAAAATTTAAAGTTTAATTGTAAACAAACTGCTGATGAGATCTTTTGCTCCCACTAGTCTCATCTGATGGGGGGGCAGGTGTTCAAGGTCACAGTGAGGACCCACTGCCCCGAGCACCCTATCATTCTGACTCAATCAATTCTGTGTTCAATAAACACTTACCGAGCAACGATTATTTGCCAGGCCCTGAATCAAGCCCAGAGAATTGAAAGGAACAGGCGTGTTCCTATCAAACTGAGAACCAGTGAAAATGGAACGAACCAGTCACACACCCTGATCTCTGAGCCCTGGAGCGACCTGGTCCTCACGCACCCCACCTGGCAGTTGTGAGAACACAAGCTCTCCCCCACAGCCAGGGCTCCTCCTCACGGTCAGGCCCCAGCTTATCGCCTTGTCTGCAGAGGCCTCCCTGGCCATCCTAAGCCAGCAGCCACCTTCTGTCACAGCACCCACTTCTTTCCTGCCACGAAGGGCACCCAGTGAGCACTGGGGTTGTGTCCCGCTCACAGCCTCCCCACTGCAGCATTAACAACAGGCGCCATCCTGTGGTCCGGGGCGCGCCAAGCACCTGAGCACATACTAGTCACTCAGCAAGGATGTGATGAATGAATCAGAGACCCACCCTATTCCCCAAAAAGCCAGTCACTTGAGGCCAGGTCTGGCAAACAAGCTGGGTAACAAAATGCAGTTTTTTGAAAAGAAAAAAAATAGAGGAGCCGTGTTTGTCAAGCAACAAATGCCCCAAATCCTTTAATGAAGCCCCTTGGGACTCCATCTGTGGAAGGTCTCTCTCACCCTGGATCTAAGGACAATCTGAATGTGGGATGTTTCCGTCTCAAGCGCAGGCAGCACTGTAAGTACAGGTCTCCCGAGGTGACCGCCGGAAAGGCTCTGGCGTCCAGTGAAGCGGGGCACAATCCCAGCGCAACATCTAGTGTGACCTACAGCTGGGGTTCTCCGTGCCAGGTCTACCTGCACCTACCTGAACGGGAGGGGGTGCCAACAAATTCCCAAGGCTCAGATCAAGCCTGAATCAGCCCAATTCTCCAGGAGGGGGCCCAGGCCTGGAGACTGTCTTCAAAGCCCCACAGGTGATCTCAATGTACAGCTAAGCATCACTGCTTCACAGTTTTCACCATTAAAGTACACCTACAGATGCATCTCATTTACATAGAGTCTAAGTCAGGTCAAACTCCCTCTCTGGGGTGTTATGCACAGGATGCACAAAAGCAAGAGACCAAATACCGATGAAGACAACCATTATGCTGGCTGTAATCTTCTTATCCTCTGAGCATTCGGATGTTTGTAAATAAACATCAGGAAATTCTAAGTGGCCACCCAGGGCACACCCAGAGCACTCTCCAGGTGGACAGGGCCGGGGGGAACAGTGGTGGTGGGGACGATGGCCAGGGCCCGTGTGCTGAGGCGGGGAGAAGCCTCTTAGGCCTCTGATAAAACTCTCCCAACACAACCTCTGGCCCCAGACACACCTTTGACGCTGCGTTAAGTGGAGAAAGACCTTCCTCCCTGATGTTGCCTTCCACCGTTCCAGTCGAGGAAACCAGGGAGGACAGAGCCAGCCTGGCTCTGTCATTCGCAAAGCAAAGGCAGGCTGGCAGGGTCAGGTTGCTGGGGAACACGGCACCCGACACAGCACGGCTCACGTGGCCAGACGCTCCACTTGCTGTCCGACCCGCCCAGCCTCGAGTCTGCGACCAGGTCTGTCCTGCCGACCCGAGGCCGCCCGGCGAGGCCCACCCTACTCCAGGGGGCCCGGACAGAGCCACAGGACCTGAAATTGAAAATGGGGTCCCAACCTCTTGATGGTTTCTCAAGATCCTTTTTCTTAACCATATAGAAATCTTTTCAGGAAATAATCTGTGGTAAGGAAATATTTTTATAAACGTACTCGGTTTTACTTAGTTTCCTTTCCTGCTCACACTCAAAAGAAAAATGAGACACGTGGCAGCAGCAGTGACAGCAGGGCCACCTGCACAGGGATCTCTGCCCCTCTGCCTGCCGTGAGCAGAGTGGTCTGAAAGGACAAACACCCAAAGTTCTACTTCTCAATGGTGTGGCCTTTTTCACTTTCCTCTCTCTACTTGTGTGTAGCGTTTGATTCATTATAATAAGCATGT